CTTGCCTTTTGTCTCAGGAGACAGAGGAATTTCTCCTCCTGGGGCAGCTTGCCTGAACCAGGCAGCCACCTGGGTGGCTAAGACAATCCAGTTATAAACTGAATGTTGCTCAGAATATTTTGATATTATGTTTATTCAAAAAAGGGAGGTCATAACATAAGTTAGCAGTGGACAGTCTGATTTTTCAAAGCTTATCCTGATCCACCCAGAATCTGTCAGATGATGGACGTTGCATAGCTTGTGTCACCTTGGGAAGCAAGGTGTTATCCTGGTGATTGCACTATGAACTCTTCTCCTTCCTTTTGGCAATGTTTGAATCCCAGTGTTAAAGAAAAGTCTGACATAAAGGGCACTTGGAAATTTCACTCTCAGTCACAACTCCTAACTCAGAATGCAAATAAACTGACAACAGATGTGTGACCTAGGGCACCTTGCTTTTACCTCTTTGTGCCTATTTTTTTCATTTGTAAGCTGTAATAAAAATAATACCCTAAATTTATCAGAACTGAAAGAAAAATATTTGGCGTCACCCAGAACATTTAGGCACAAATCTATTTGTTGGTTCTTAACAGTAGCCGAGGGCTTCTGATGCACTTAGTGGCTTTCTGATTTTTTTTTCTGAAGAAAAAAAATTAACACATCCAGTAAAAGTTGCAAAATGATAAAAACATTTCAAACCTTTCCCCATTAGAAGACTTGTTTTTCAATAAATGTGAAGCATTGGTAAGTTTAAAATGTGGTCAGCATGCCTTTCTTTTGGTCTCCTACTTAGTCTTCTCACTAGTAGTAGCTGCCCACTACTGTAAGTGCTGGGCAAGTTGGAGACAAGCAATATCAGCTCTCAATCTGGAAAATTAGAAGATAGTATGGAGTTCACAAGTATTTTCTTAGTTAATTCATAGGTGACTAAAATAGAGCAGTGTGGAACCCTTGGTAGAGTGCTATGATATCCCCATGTTACACATCACAAGATCAATTAGCAAAGTGGCAGGGCCTTGGTCATTGGAGGTAGGTAGGATTTAGGTTAGGATTCTAGGTACTGGTAGTGGAGCTGACTAGAATAAGCAAGATGATATCTTTGTGGCTAACATGTAAATGAACTCAGAAAAGATGACCAAGACCCATGTATCAGAAATAAAATGAGGCATAGTTTCAAGAATGATATCTGTACATGATTTTTAGAATTGTACCATAACATCCAAGTGAGACTACTGACAAGCATGATTGTGGTTAAGCCCATAGAATAAAAAGTGAGAACTGACTAATTATCACCTGTTATATGCCTCAATTGGTCTTAGGAACTGAATGTAAACATGGAATACCAGTGAGGGACCCTAGAAATGGGGAGAGGTAGGAAAGAGAGTCTAGGAGTCAGATTTCATATGACTGGTGAAAACCTCCCAAAAATTTGAGACTTAAGACTTTCAGCTTTCAACCGAGGTGTCTAAGTTGGATTTGTGGTTTTTAACCACTTCAAGTCAAATAAAACATGTTAGCCAAACCAAAGAAGAAAGAAAGAGAAAACTGGAGAAAGTTGTTGGCCTATGTTATGTGAGGTTATATTATATAACGATGCGGTTGCTCTTATATTTCAGGGTTGGCTGGAAGGCTGTGTTAGCCTCCTCAGAAATGGTGCCAAGCACAATATCCCAGACAAAAATGGCCGCCTGCCACTGCATGCTGCCACTGCTGAGCCCGATGTGAGGTAAGTAGTCTGGCTCAAAAGACACTCAAGTTGGGAAGTACCCACTTGGATTAGAAAGTCATCTAATCCAAACCTCTGTAGCTGATAAAACAAAGTCCATCCTTTTTTGTTTTTTAAAGTTGTAGCAGGCCACAGTTCAGTAAATCAAAATACTCAGAACAATCTTAATTTATGATCTTTTTCTTCTCCTACTTTGATAAACCCTTTTTTCTTAGTCTTTTAGAGGAAATGACATTTGTCACACCCTGAATTCATATATTCCTTCATTCAGTAAGTCAGTCAGTAATTACTAATATGTGTGGTATGTTTATTATATACCAAGCACATGATAAATCCTGCAATTCCAGAGTAAACAAGACAGTTTCTGACCTCAGAGAGCTTACATGCTAGAAAAAGATTATGTAGCAAATTAGTAATAGGATCATTTGAAATCATGATAAGTGCTATGAAGAAAATCAAACAGGATAAAAGAGCAATGATTGGTTAGAAAGGATGATGTCTGCACTCAGTCATGTCAACATTTATGGGTTGGAAGTTGGCAAAAGACTCAGCAAAGGAGACTGAGACTGAGACTAGTGGGTTAGAGGAAAAACTGGGAATGTGTGCTGCCAGAAGCCATGTGAAGAAATAGCTTAAGTAAGTTGGATGATTGAGAAGGTCACATTTTTTTAATACAATTGAGCAACAGAGGAAAAAATTTTTCCCAGACCAAGTATAGTTTCCCCAATCCTGTCTAAATGGCCTAGGTCTCCATTCTTTTCAAAGCCCTAATAACAGAGCAACTAATAACAGCATTTCCCACTATGAAATCGGCAACATTCTGGGTGCTTTCTTAACTTTTGCTGCACCTAACATGCCTCTGAAAGGAATTAGGTGACCCTCAGAGGTATGTACAGGACACCACCACCTGGGATATATTCTGTGGGTTTCATCCTCTATGTTCTGTGTCCAAATCTAAAATTGAAACTCCAGGAAAGCTAAGGAAATCATGTCCTCTTCCAGATTGAGAAGTAAAAGGATTGTTGCACTTCCATTAAAATAAAAGGACTTGGGAAATCCAGGATTATGCCTAGCCAAGGCTTGCCTCTTATTATCCTTGGATTATATCCAGGAACATTAGAAAACTAGATTAACCCAAAATTCAATAAAAGTAGGAGGTTAAAGAAGAAACAGCACATCTTGAGCTAATAATCAGACATCATAAAGGGTCTGATTCCCTTTTGATGAATTAAAAAATAATTACATTGTTCTAAACAACTGAAAAAAAAATACTTAATTCTTTTCCCAAAAGTGGTATTTACAAAGTAAACTTAAAATGTACCTTCTAAGATTAGTCTTCCTTGATTTACTCTACTTAATTGCTTTTACCTACTTCACTCAGAGTGATCATTTCAAAATCTACTTGATTCTGAAAGATAAATTACTACTTTAGTTATGATAATTATAGCTACTGTAATAATTAAAACCCAGTGATTCAATATTTTAACACACTTTTTAAAGTTTATTTCTTAAATGTGTAGCAGTTCAATGTAGTACTGGGAGTGGCTCTCCTCCATGTGGTAATTCAGGCTCCAGGCTTTTTCCATCTTGTGTATTCATTATCCACTAGGAACACAGAATCCTTTTTAGTCAGCCTACAACTAGGGAAAGAGGATAAAGAAGCCCACTCAGTTCTTTAAAATCTCATCCTGAAGGGCCCTCCCTGGTGGCACAGGGGGTTAAAGAACTATGAAGCTCAGCAGCCACTGCAGCACGAGTTCTATCCCTGGCCAGGGAGCTGACACACATGGTGCAGCAGACCTCTCCTGTCTCGATAGCTGTTCCCCTCAGCAGTATAGGTCAGTCAATCTCCCTTTTCTGCTCTCCACTCTTGCCTGGTGAATCCTTTCACCACCAATCCTCCACCCTTTTACCCCTGCATCTCTGGCCTGCGCCCCAGCTCTTGTAAGCATAGATAAATAAATCTTTAAAAAATAAATAAAATTTCAATCTGTAATGACACAATCCATGTCTGCTCACATTCCTCTGATAAGAAACTAGGCATTTGGCCACTGTGGAAGCAGCACTGAGAAATATAGCTCCTGACCAGGAATCTACCTCCCAGCAATAACTTCAATACAAGAAAAGGAGGCATGAATATTTATGAAAACTATCTATGCCATCAACCCATGGTACCTGAGGGGGGAACTTAATGTTGTCAGTGAAAATCACATTTAAGGTCAATTTGATTAGTTGATTAGGCTCATCATCTGAAAGTGCTAGAATAATCAGTTGAAAACCAGTCCCAAAATACTCTGGTTTTGGTGAATGTACTAGTCTTTTTCTTGTGCCAGCAATGCCCTAGACTCTGCATTATATAAGAGGAGATAAAACAGGGTTGTGGCTTCTCCTTTGAAATTGTACCTAATGACCCAGACTCTACCCTTGAAAGAACTAACATTAGGAAAACAAACATCCTTCTGTGTGGGGATGATACAGTTTTCCTGTCCTAAATGGACACAACGAAATCTGGAATATAAAAGTGCTTTAGTTGAAGTAATGCTAGCTGTTGTAACTAATATGATCCAAAGGTTAATATTAACTATCCCTAAACCAAAATTATCATTCCTGGAAATGTTTTCTAAAAGTGAATGTGTTAAACCGTAACAACTCATATAGTAAGTCAGCTGGCTTCCTTAACTAGAGAAACATTTCTTAACCAGCTTCCCTATAGCATTACATTGCTTAAAATTATATTTTTTTCATTGTTTTATAAGAAATGTTATGGCCATGGCAGAGTTTTAATAACCTCTGCATTAAGTGATTCAAACAGAAATTAACTAAGCTGTGCTTTATAACAGAGAAGTGGAGTTTCAATTGCAATTGTTCATTTGTTAAATGTCAGCACAAACTCAGAATTGATTTGTGAAGAAAACAAAAAGTTTGGTCTTCTGCTCTGCCTTATAGTACTGTCTAATCCTACAACCTGAATGCAGAAGGAAATGACTCTTTCTTTAGGCTACTCAAGTTGTGTGATTAATTTTCTTCAATATGTGCCACTTTAGGCCAGCCTGGCTGACACTAAATCACAAGGTCCACACTAAGCATTAAGTCATGAAGATGGTGATAAGCAGCAGTGTTCTGAGAATAAGTCTCAAGTGCTTTCCATGCACTATCTCTTCTAGTCTTTACCATACCTCTATGTGGTAGGTGATATTTCTGTCCCCATCATACAGATGAGAAACTGTGGCACTAAGGAGGTAATTAATTGCCTAAGTCATGTGAAGATAAGAAGCCTGTACCAGGTTCTGCTGTGCTCCCAGGGCCCACTGTTGTGGACAATGTAGAGCTTATTTTAATGGCCACATTTTGTCTTCAAGCCCTTGACCTACACTGAGGGGCCTTGTGGGGAAAAAAAAACAAAACAGCTTTACAAAACCCCTTATTGTCTCACAGTCAGGAAATATTTTGTGCATTATAGCATCCAAAAACCCCTTTATAAGAAACCACAAGAAAAATTTCTAGCACAGGAGGAACAGCTTTTCCTAAGAAATTATTTTTCATTTTCACACTGTGATCCCCGTGACAGGATTATTTCTCTCATATCTGGAAAACTCACAGCCACGTTTGTGTCCCACCTCTGGCATACATGTAGGACTGTAGTTAGGGCTTCTTTGTCCTGCCCTTGTTTTTTCTTTGCCTGTCCTCTTCATTTGCTACAGTGGTTTATCATAAGTTTTTAAAGATCACTGAAAATCCTCTGTAGTTTGAGGTAAAGGATGGTGAGAAGTGCCAGCTCAGAAATCTGACTGAGTTTGAATCTGGCTCCATTTCTTACCAACTATATTATTTTGGACAACTTACTATGTAAAGGCTCAACTGCCTTTCTTTTCCAGAAAATAGGGATAATATAGTACTTAACTCATAGGTAATATGGCAGAAGTGAAATGTGTAGAAAGCATGGAACACTAACCATTGTAGTATTCAGTAAGTGTAGATGGTAGTGATTGTCATCGAGATCCTAGTGACGATGAAAAAGAGATCAGTGCTAAAGAAGAACTAAACCTGCCTCCATACCAGCTCTCACCCTGGCCTTCTACAGTAGAGGTCTACTATAGATATAGATGTAGATATAAGTATAGGTTTAGGTATAGGATTAGGTATAATCTTTATGTCATGTACAGGGGTTTGTACATGCACACATTTGCTGTTAAGGTTAGCAGCCATCCTGCTAATATTGAAAAAGCACTCCTATCTATTCCCAGGAATATAGATCATTGCTAGACTTCATAAACCAGAGAATATCAGATTCAGTGTTTCAACTCCCCTGAAACTCCCTTCTTTACCTCTGTTAGTGTACTTCATCTGCCCCCCACTCCCAATTATAAGCATATGTACAAGCTATTTTGTAGTCCTGAACTCAGGTATTCATACTCATTGTAAAATCCACTAACCCTTAAATTTCCAAACAAGAAGTTCCTTCTATTTGGTGCTTGCCAGAGATTATTCAGAATGAAACCTCAAACTGAAGCTGCTTATATGTAAACCAAGGGAACACTTGAATTAGGCATTTGCTTCCCAAGGAATTTTCGTTCTCTGATAAACAACTTGCTAGCAAACCAGTCTGTTCCAATCCATACCCTTAGCTAAGCGACAACTCAGTGGGAACTCTAAACTGATGTAGGGATGAGTGATTTATAATTATGAACATGAAGGCAAGTTGGATGGACAAAAACAAAGACACAGGTTTCATTTCAGACTTCCCTTCCTGCTTTGATCCCTTAGCTTCTCAGCAGGCCAAAGTTTTCTCTTTCAGTTCCCCCTGGCTTTTCTTGCTTCCCTGACTGAGACATTCAGAGGGCGTCCATGTGAAAGAAGGGGCACAATCATTAAGACAAAGCTACAAAGAAAATGAAGTTGTGTTTGTACAGCGCTCTGCATGCTAGCATTGGAAGGCAAGCAGCGATTTCCTCTGAAAGCAGCCACAGGGCTTTCTGAAGGTCTTTCTGATGGTCTCCATGGTTACCAGCAGATTTTTTTTTTTTTTTTTTTCCCTGCCTGAGCACCAGACATTCTGCCTCTTTAAACTGCTCTTGACTGTAGCAAAAGGGAGGAAGGAAATCATTTCTCTGGGTGATGTGTTCTAACCTGCAGGTCTCCATTTCACAAGACCCTTCTCTCCCCTCAAGGCAGTGTCAGGACCAGGAGTGCAGGCTGCTGGCTTGAGGGTTCTTTTTCTGACCCATTAGTGGGATAAGCCAGCTCCAGGGCTGTAAGGCCAAGAGATCAGAAAAAACAAGAAGTTCAAGGCAACACTCCACCCTCCCCCTCATCCCCTCTTAGATCTAGTTGATTTCTCTCAGGCAGTCACTTAATGATGATCAGGGAAACCCAAAATGTAAAGGCTAGAAACCTTTCAAAACGTCATTTTATGGAACACATTATGAAATGTAAAGCCCATTCTAAGTGTTTTATATGCATCCACTCATTTAAAGTCACAGCAAATGTGTAAAAAGTAGGTGGTGTTATTACCTTTATTTTACAGATAAGAAAAAGTAGGCACTAAGAATGTTATCACTTGATGGTCTAGCTAGTTGGTAAAGAAGCAGAATTTCCCCTAGAGGTAGGAGCATCAGTGTGCTCTTCACTCACCCTGCTGTCTGGGGGAAACGCTGCTGGGGGTCTGTTCCTGCTATGTTGGGGGTGTGGGGGCAAGGTTTATACTGCTGCCTGGAGTTCTGAGAGCAAGATGGGGTTTGGATTAGGGAGGTAGTGGTAGAAATATTCTTGGATCACCTTAGCACAAAACAAGAGCTCTCAGAAAACAAAGCAGTCTGCAAGTCTGGTAATTAAGCCATGGTTGAGCAAGTATCTGGCAGATACCTCTGAACCATGGAATAACATGGAAGCACTAGTCTGGAAAGCCAACATATCTAGTTTCCAGTCCAGGCCAGATCACCAAGGCAACGTGTGATAGCCTGGCAAGCAAGGTGGTACCTCAGGTCATGTATTGTCATCAAATGAGAGAGAGAGAAGAACCACCAGTACCTTTCTTTCCTCACCCCATAGCCTTCTCCCCCAAAATAGCTTTAAGGGAAAATACATGCAGGAGTGAAATATAATTACAAAGATTAAAAAACAATAGGGAAACCCAAAGTGAAAGTATTTTTTGCATCTTCCTACCAGATGGAGGAAATCTAACATTCAGAATAGATAGAGGTGGACTTCTTGCTGTATTCTACAAATAACACTGTTCTAGGCATGCTTTAAATGTTGTATGTATATTAATTCACTTAATCCTCATACTAAGCTATAGGTGGGCACTTTTATTACCCCCATTTTCCAAATGAAGATCTTAGGCCCAGAGAAGGTAAGTAACTTGTCTGAGGTCATAGAGTTGGTCGGTGTTGGGACTAGGCCATGAACCCTGGCAGTTTGGTTCCCGAGTCTGGGCCACTGACACTACTCCTGTCCTCAACTGCCTCTCTGCATGGATGGAGCATTGAGCTCAGTCAGCCAAGGGTGGGACCCACGTAGAATAATAATTTGATGTTGAAAGTCACTGAGAGTTGTTTTACAGCTAATTATTGCCATCCCATGTATATTTTATAAAGAATGAGCAAAGATGTTAAATGCTGACTGCCTCCTGGGTATAACCTACACATTTAAAAGGCATGAAGTGTTCCTAATAGTGAAGCAGTTTGAAAGCACCCTACAAGTTATATAAAATGAAACAAGAATAAGCAGTAAGGCCTTTGACCCTTATAGGGCACACATAGGGACATTAGTCTGGGAAATTAATCTGGACCATAAGATTCACTTTCTGCATTCTCTTGGGCCCCTCCAGAAGCACTGAGACAGAGAGGAGGTAGGAGCAGAGAGATTATTTCCTCCACGCCTTCTTACCTCACCCTGGCTTCTTTTCCCTAGAGAAATGAAGAAGGCCTATCTTCATTTGTTGACCCTCAAATGACTGTATTTCTAATGTCATGTTCTTACATAAACTTCATTCTTTTGAGCAACTTCTCCTGTTTTGTTTGGGTTTGTTTTCATTTGTGATTGGGTTTGTTTTCATTTTTTGTTTGTTTTTACAGGCTCCTAACAGTCCTAGTGCAGCAGTCAAATCTCAGCGAGATTAATCACCAGGACAATGAGGTGAGCCTGCCCTCACTGGGACAGTTGGTTGATGTGCATGCCTGCACACAGGAAGGGTGCTGTTCCTCTCAGAAGGGCACACAGGGGAGACGAGGTGCATTTTTGTGCTCCTTTCCTTAGAAGGAAGTCTATGATCCTCAGGCAGAAATTCATCCCCACCCGTGAGTGTAACTTCTGACAGGGAAGAATTTATTGCATTAAGTACTTAATCATTCCACTGAAGTTTTGTAATTTCTCTGGGGACATTGAGAAATAAATACTGCTCCTTCCCATCTCCTCAGTCTCAGAAACTTAGGTGGCAAGCTGTGGTCGCAGATGTTCTCTGAGTGAAAGATAACAGACAGATGATAATTCCAGGCCCTCTGATCAAAAGCCTCATTATTAATGTCAGTGGTCATAACTGTCCTCTCCTTTGTGTAGCAAAAATGATCTTGCTGGAGGCTCCTAAGGCAGCACCACACTGAGGAACAAAGATCCTGAGGGAGAGGAGGTGGGTTAGATGCAAGCTAGCGCTGCCCCCAGTAGCTTAGGGGCTTCAACCTACTTAACCCTCTTAAAAAGCAGACTTGTTTCTTCTAGCCTGATTCTAGACTGATTTCTCTAGCTAGTTTCTCAAAACTGATTTTCAAAATTAAGTTCTCATGGATTTTTTCATAAATATGTGCTTAGTATGTCACTAAGAATGTCTGATAACTTTTGAGAAAGTCTGCTAACCTTACAAAGTCATGTGTCCAACAATGTTAAATTGCACTCTTTTCAAGAAAGCCAGCTGGCCAAACAATAAGGTGTACATAAGTCCCCTAATGGCTCTCCTCAGGGCTCAGCCCCTCTCCTTCCTCAAGCCCCCCAATTAAAGGCTTCCTTCCTGCTGTCTTGGCATTAATGCCCACACTGAAAGTCCCTGCCTGGACCTGAGGTTGGCTCCTTCCCGAACTACATGGTCACAACTTCTTCAGTGGTTTAAAGCAAAACCCCAGAGAAGAAAGGACTGTATACTGTTTTTAACTTCTGCTTTAAAAAAAAGAACCTGACATGCAAAGGCACACACACTCCCATCACTCTGTACAGGGTGCAAACACAAGGCAGATTGCTTTTTATGTCAGGTGATCAAGAACTTCTTGGGCAAGTTGCCAACAAATTCCTCCACTTCCAACACCTACCCTTGCTCCCCTTAACTGGGGCTCCTTAGGAAGGGGACAAATTCATTCACACTAAAGCAAAATCGCTCTTGTAGACCTACACTGTCTACCCCTAAACTGAACCATCTTCTCCCAGCAAAGTGATAGTTCCCTAATTTCCCACACCATAGGAGGCCCCTAATTGACAGAGACAATGAAAGAGGATGCAGAGCATCCTAACAGTTATAATTGTGACACTTTTTGAATAATATGTGGTAAGTATTAGAAAAATCTCTGGTTTCCTCTCAAGCGAAGTGCCCTCTCTGAGAGGAGATGCCCCCTGCTATTACACCATTCTGACTCCATGAGTTTTAAGTGCTAAGAGGAGGGATCATAAAGAATACTACCTGCTAATGGTTACCTGAGTTTTTATGCATATGAATGCATGCATATATACATGTACACATATAACATGCACATAGATAAATATTATATACATATACACATGTATATGAATATATATACATCATTTTCATTGTTATTGTGGGCCAATTCATGTGAATTTGCAAGGGCTTTGGAAAGTGACAATTCTAAAAGAGAACACAGTCCATACTTTCTTTTTCATTCCCATGAACTTCCTGTATCTTAGCATCTTAAAACCTTGAACAAGCTATAACTTACCCTCCTTCTCCCTCATCATTATTGCAGTGAGCTCCAGCTACAATTCAGCCTCCATTATATAAGAGAGGGGTAACAAAGCACAGATACACACACACTCTACATCTGCTAAATAACAGGAAACAAAAAGCAGCAAAGGCAAAAGAAGCAAGGGAAAGGGTAAATAACTGCTGGTAAAACATTACAGTTTCCTAACAACAGAGGAAAGAGCAACATCTATCCTTACGTGGGCCAAATAAAGTTATTTTCCAATAGCAGGAGTTCCAAACTTTTAACAATAATGGCTAAAGGTTAAAGGATCAATAAGTAGAAATCTAACTTCAATAAAAGATATTTCAGATTGCAAGCTGGAATTAAAGACTAAAGGTGGGGAGAGGGGGAGAAAGGGAAAAATATCATCTTCTTAAACCATTCTGTAACTAACTGCTCAAATAAAACAAACCTGACACTGTTTTATATTAGATAGGTGAGTGTCACTTTGAGGCTGTCCTTACCAACAACTTAAAACAATATTTTGTACTATTTGTTTTTACCTATATAATTAATACATTAATGCATTTGCTTTTTTTAAATGTGCATATTACAAGTGATAGCAGAAACTCCTTGATTACTTCATTGCACCAGGCTTTCCAATCTTTCATATATATTCATATATCCAATGGGTGCTATTAAAAGGTATCACTCTCTATATGCTGTTCCTCAAGTTGGCTTTTCACTCAAGATGTGTGTGTGAGAGAGAAAGAGAAAAGATGGTTCTATTCATGTTGACATGTATAGATCTGTCTGGCTCATTATAATGTTACATACTATGAAAATATTTGCATTCATTCAGTTATTCTCATTGATATTTAGGTTGTCTCTAGTTTCTCACCACCACAAACACTACTCTAGATAGAATGCATATGTGCAAACCCCTTGTATTTTATATAAGCATTGCTGTAGAATTATTGGATAGTAGAGAGTATAGACATACACCTCATTATTTTCCAATACAGTGGTATCAGTTTTAAGTTCCTCTGGTAAAATAAAAATGATCATTGTTATATTCCTATTTTTATATTATTTGTATTTCCCTGATAGCCAGTGAGCATCATCTTATATGTATATTGTAATTTTTATATATTTTGTGACTTAGCTGTTTACATTCTCTTGTCCATTCATATCTTAGGGTACTGGACATTTTCTTATTGATTTATAGGAAGTTATATTCTGAACATTACTCCTTTGCTGTTGGGTTATAATCTTTTTAAGGTTCTTGTTTATTTCAGCACTTTTCATGATCTCTTTTCTCATAAAGAAAATTTGAAAGATGCTATAATTAAAATGGTCCTTTTGTCCATTACTGCTTTTGCTTTTGGTATTGTCTTGAAAAGGGCCTCCACTACTCCCAGAGATATAGGTATATTATACTAAATTTTCTATGAGTTTGTTACAAGATCATTTTTTTAATGTGTGGTTCCATTTTCAATTCTTTGTTGTATGCCAATAATCTGTTTTTCCTGTTTTATTAATCACACTGCTTAATTATAAGGTGACTCATTTAGAAGCTTGCAATACCTCAGAGTTTAACACTAGGTCAGACTGTCCTCTGTGCCTTGTTCTTCTGGACCTCAGGGGAATCATTGACATAAAGAGAGGTGTGTCTGTTGTAACTATAGAGACTTAATAAGTTCTAAACTCCCAGAATCTAAACTCTCTTTGATTCCTTTTATATTTTTTATTTTTTATTTTCCCTGTTTCCTATTAGCTTGACAAGAAGAATACCCCCATCAAAGGGGCCTATGAGCTGTTGATATCTGGATTAGAATTTTAAATGCATTTATCCAAAGAAACACTCTTATGCTTTGTGTTCAGGATTTACCTTTGATCCTTATGAGATGCATTTTCTGATATAAGTTGGTTTTGTGATTAGCCCAATAATCTAAATTTCTATTATGATAATACTCTGAGAAAATAAATCCAAGTTAAAAAAAATATGAACGTTTGAATATAATCTTTAGTACTAAACTCACTTCTAACATCTCTAAGACATAACCACAAGCAGAAACTATATACTACAAAGACAAAATTTAAAAATTAGCTTTAAAAAGTAAAATAATAAGGCAAAACATTTTTAAATTTGCCAGAATTTTTGTTCTGTAAAGCACCTAAAAAAAAAAAAAAAATGAAACAGAGTCACTACTACTTATGAGTCTTTACTTCCTTCTTTCCTCCAACAATACATTTCTAGAAACAGACCATGTCTACTTTCATCTTTGTACTCCTAAAGTCTAGCTCAGCAACTTGCACATTGTTATAAACATAAAGGGCTATATATGCACATATATATGATAAATCATTAAATTATTAACTGTATGTAAAATAGATAAATAATTAAATTTAAGAAGAAAATCATGATTGTATTTTATGATCCTTTCTGTTTCATTTACCTAACTCTGATTTACCCTTTTTTTTTTCTTTTCACCAGACTTGTCTCTAGGCGACTGCTAATTATTTCTAAAATCTACATTGGAAATAATTACTTTGGAGCATCAAAAATATATATTATAGACTCTAGAGCACAAGTCCTTACCTTTTTTTAAAATGGGGGTAACTCTTGTATACTGATGAAGACATGAATCTCTTCTCAGAAAAATATTTGAGGTTATATAAAACAAAACACATAGAAATACAAAAGAAAGCAATTATATTAAAATATAGTTATCAAAATATTTTAAAGAACAAGTTTCTAATAGTAATATAAAGTTGTTTTTTTTTAATTGGTACATTAGTTAACATTTAGTGGTGGGACCAATAAGTACCACAATTTTGAAGGTAGTGACACATGTAAATACTATTTCTGAGATGTTTTCAGTAATTAATGTGATAGAATGCTCTACAATTTATATTACTGGTGAAGTCACAGATGTTATTAATACTATTCCAGGGTTTTGCCTATATTCATAATTGAACACTACTGTATTTCAATTAAAAAATCAATGATCCAAACTCATAAAAAGGCCTGCTTTCTATCAGTGGGTAGAACCCTTGCTCTAATAATAAATCCAAAGAACATGTTCCCAACTGGAAAAGATCATGCTTAATGAAATAAGCCAGAAAGAAAAGGAAAAATACCGGATGGTTTCACTCATAGCAGGAATATAACAGACCAGATGAGAAAATAATGATAATGATGAGCAGCTATATACCATTTTGCGGAGGTAG